CCACCCACAGTGTTTGACTTACAGGAAAGCCTCACTGGCAATGAAACTATGATTGCAAACAAAGCTGCAAATACATTTTAATATTGGCAGAGCTGAAGAGCAACGATGAGGAAATGCAATTGCAAATGGGTGATTGTTATTCTGTTTGTAATATGTCAGAGTCAGACCACTAAGCCAATGAAAATGAAATGTGAAAAGCACTCCCATTTACTTTTTTCCTGTAACATGGTGGCTGGCTTATCCCACGGGATGATCAAATTAGCATTCCCCACATTAAAAACATAGCAAGCTCTGGGATAATCCACTGACCAGGTACAGAGATGGACTTAGAGAGACTGACTCAGAGAGACAGAGTGCAGAGCAGAAGAGATTCAAGAATAGGGGACAAAAGAAGAAAAGCCGTGTTGTACTGAGCAAGACTCAGTCTCACAACCTCGCAATGTCAGAGTGAGTGCATTACTGCTAGGCTACTGCAGCAGTGCTGAGGAGAGTCTTGCAGAAGAGTTGATTTAAAAAAGGGAGAAAACTAAGGCCAAACAAAAGAAACACCACAGCAGCATTTTCAAATACATTTTTTTCTGGAGAGAAGTCAACAGATTTATTAATGCACATGGCAGCATAAACTCAAGACTGAGTGGTGAGCTGTGGGAGAGCTCTCCTTAAGTAGAACGTGCACAGCTGCACCTGATCAGCCTCAATCACCTCGTCCCGGGTCTCTGCCTGCTCTTTGTGGTTGGAGGTGACCTAGCAGGAAGCTGGCACATTACATTCCCAGCCATTATGCACAGAAATGCAGATGCAAATGCACATGCATTTGGAATTTGTTTTAAATTCAACACACTCATGAGGGAAATGCAACGGTAAGGACAATTTAATTAGCTTTTTCAATTTTTGAAAGACACCAGAATGAGAGACCAAGGCATTTCCCCTGATCTACCATGCTGCCACACAGAAGGGCTGGGGAGGAGAGGAACATGGCTCAGAAACAGGGTGAACAGGGAGAGGAGTTTCCAAAAAAATGGCCTCTTATACTCCACTAGCAAACTCAAAACAGATTGCAATCCAGAGACACTGATAAAGAACCCCAAATGGTTGGGTTATGCATCTCTGAAAATGTAAAATTATGTTCAATATTAAAAAAAGGTGTAATGTACAGTAGAGAGTGAAAAGTCTAAATGAAGAGATTGCCCTTGACACATGTTTATTTTTCAGGTTGAGGTGAGCAGTTATGAACTGGGAATCTCATTGAAGAACATCTACCCTGTGAAGAACTATCATGCGGAGATCACTGAAGATGCCAATGTGGATGTTCTCATTCTCATGGCACTGAGGGATATTGTCAACTTTGCCAACGACTATGCAGAATTCATGTATGAATCGAGTGGCAGTTCACAAACAGAGTAAAAGAGAATTCCAGTGCTTTTCAAAATGTCTGCATGTAGTGTTAATATATAGTGTTATACTATGTATGTTTGTGCTGTAGACATCATGACCCCTGGTTCATATCACCACCACTATGAAGTCTGAAATCAGAGTTTGTTGGGTTTACTTGTTAGTTTTGCATTTACTATTAAGTAGCTTGTTAAAATACCCTTTTAAACAGTTGGCGTGACCTTGTTATAAAACCATCTATTTTGACCATAATTGTATAAAGAAAATGGTGAAAGAAAAATTGCCCAGTGCTCCAATATGGCATTTCTTTTTAGATTTAAATCCAAGCTAACCCAATATAAACCGAGCCACTCAATCCAAATAATGTGATGTGTAAAAACTGTAACAAACAAGCTGTAGAAAAGTTGCCTCTCTTATAATAATAATAATAATAATAATCATAATTATTCTTCTTCTTTTTCTTCTTCTCCTTCTTTTTCTTCCTCTTCTTCTTCTTCTTCTTCTTATTATTATTATTAATATTATTATTATTAAACTTCTTATCAAAGTGAATAAACAAGCTTGTTCAAGATGGCATTACTCATAACCTGTTGCTCTTGGGAAGCCTCTGGTTTTTTTTAAACCTTTGGCACTTAGCAGTACTTCTCCTTAGTTTTGAGTTTCATTTGTCATGAGTCAGTCTTATTTTTATCTGTTTGTGAGCAGGGAAAAATCAGTATCACACATGCCTATTAACTACACAGCAAACCTAAGCCTGAGAAACTGTTAATTACTTGAGTGTAAATAAGATATTCACGTTAAAATGTACATTCATGTACGCACTGTAGCTGTAGCTAACTGAATAAAGGCTTAAGCATAAAATACTGAATTTAAACTAAATAAAAATGTGAACAAAACTGTTGCTTTCTTCCTTTAAATATGGCAGAGAGTGGAATTGTCTGCTTATCTGATGACTGACTGGGCAAAACAGGGTGCATTTGAAATACTACTACACAACACACTGCATACTGCACTAGTATATACACTGTATACTGCATACTACTTTTCATAGTAGCATACACATTTAGAGTATCTAGTATAAATTATTTTCCTGAAAACCCTCATTACTCCCATTTTCCAGTTTTCTGTTTCCAGTCGTGAATTCCAGAAGAGCTAACCAGAGAATTTCTAGTGAGAAAATTAAATTGGTTCTGATACGAATGACATGATTCAAACTTGAACAGTGCTGTTGTCTGTGCCATACGGTGACCAACAAGACCCTATTCATAGTACAATTAAAAATATTTTGCAAACACATACACTGATCAGGCATAACATTATGACCACCTCCTTGTTTCTACCCTCATTGTCCATTTTATCAGCTCCACTTACTATATAGGTGCGCTTTGTGGTTCTACAATTACAGACTGTAGTCCATCTGTTTCTCTGCATACTTTGTTAGCCCCCTTTTACCCAGTTCTTCAATGGTCATGACCCCCATGAACCCTCACAGAGCAGGTACTATTTGGGTGGTGGATCATTCTTAGCACTCTAAAAGGCTAAATTAATACTACAACAGAGAACGTTATATTAGCCAGTAGGTAACAACAGATAACAGCTGCAATTGTTTAGGAATATAGCCTACATTACCAATGGTTTTAGCTAGCCTTGCTAATTCAAGCCTTACACAGTTCCTGCACTGACAGATGGAGCACATGGGATGAGGAAAGCTTTCCCAGGCTGTGACTAAGCAGGTGCAGTCTCCTGTTCAATCTCTTCCAGTGGACATGAATAACTGTCTTACTGTGTCTGCTGGCCAGCTCATGCCCAGGGGTCATCCACCAAACAGAAACTGAAAGAAATATTGAATTGAATTTATTATTAGGTTAGTGATTCATGCTTTAAAAGCCATGATCGAATATACAGTTTCACTTGTACTTGCCCTGCCTGTCTTTACTTTCACTTTCCTTCTGAGAATAAAAAGATCCTGAGCACAAGCCCACTGAGGCAGAGCTGCAACCATCTACAATTACAAAATATATATATATATAGCCCCACATTTTAGGGTCTCAAAAGTAATTGGACAACCTACCAATCACAATCATGCCCAGGGGTCATCCACCAAACAGAAACTGAAAGAAATATTGAATTTAATTGATTATTATGTTAGTGATTCATCTATTAAAAGCCATGATTGAATGTACAGTTTCACTTGTACTTTACTTTCACTTTCCTTCTGAGAATATAAAGATCCTGAGCACAAGCCCACTGAGGCAGAGCTGCAACACTGCAGCATCACTTAGGCTTCTGGAAACTACCAGCACAAATACTAAGACCTTCTAAATTACACTTACATGCTGAATGTTTTGTGTCTGTGCTGTTATCCGGTGTCGACCAGAGGAGGATGGGTTCCACTTTTGAATCTGGTTCCTCTCAAGGTTTCTTCCTCCTGTTGAGGGAGTTTTTCCTTGCCACTGTCGCCAAGGCTTGCTTAACTGGGGGTGTGGACCCGGATTCTTTGTAAAGCTGTCTTGTGACAACATCTGTTGTAAAAGGTGCTATATAAATAAATTTGACTTGACTTGAATTTGACTAGGTATTGGATGGATAAAGGTACATGTAGCAGCCTACATTCACATCAAAGTATGGTGAACAATTAAGGAAGTACAATCATCTACAATTACAACCATACATAGCCCCACATTTTTAGGGTCTCAAAAGTAATTGGACAAACTACCAATCATAATGTGGTGGTTATAATAGATTTAGTGTTGTTATTATTGCTTTAACTTCTGACAAGAAGCTAGAGTAACCCAGATTTATTTAAAGTCTACAGACCAAGTCAATAGAGACAAATGCCCACACCAAGAATGCATCAGTCAAAGGGGATATTAATGACTAAATATCAGACAACAGTTGAATTACTTTCAATGATAAACAAAAGAAAAATTAAAACAAAAAGAAAAAGAATCAGACAGCTCAGGTTATGTAATTCACAGCTAAAATAGTATGAGACAATGTAGTTTATGGCACTTCTTGGGAAAGCAGCTCAAAACGTAGGCGTAAAAGAGCCTCTCGAGAATTAGAGAAGTAGATATATCTAAAAAGCGTTTCTTATTTAATATGTGGCGTCGGAACCTTGACTTAAAAAACAAACAAACAAAAAAAAAAGATAGCCAACCTTACCCTGGAGTCGAGGGAGCTGATTTCAATCCCTCCAGGAGGGGTCGTCTTGGGGCCGGCTGGACCGAAGGCTGGAGCTTGGCATCTCTCTTCGCTGGGGATGGAGGCTCTGTCAGAGTAGCCATACAGGCAAACGCACCATAGTTAACAACTAGGCATAGGTGTCTCGAGGCTGCTTGAGAATGGAGTTTGGAGCCTGGGCAGTCTTTCAAAGGTCAATCTGCTCACAGATTGAGCCGTGGCTCTGGGTGAGATCCTGGGGTTGTCGATAAGGCTACCTCAACTCACAGACAGCAGGTATTTAGAGAGCCATGTGCCTTTGATTCCAGGCAAGGTGTTTTATTGCTTCATGGGTAAGGGGTGGTGTTCTGTTCCTTGACTCAGCCATAAATTAGGCTTAGTCCAGGGTTGGTGAGTGTTCCTGCAACAGTTTTAGGCTCCAAACCCCAGAATCTGTGGAGCCAGAACTCTTAACTCTTGATTTGGTGATGCGATAAGTAAACACCCAGTTTGAAATAGAGTCCATAAAGTGCCTGCAACAATAAATTAAATTGTCAATTTTAATACTTGGTTGCAAATCATTTGCAGTCATTACCTGGAGGTCTGGAATCTATAGATGTCAGGCCTTTACTTGAGTCTTCAGTTCCTGCTTTTTCTTGGGGTTTTACCTTGAGTTTTGCCTTCAGTAAATAAACTGCGTGCTTGATAGGACTAAGGTCACTTGCTATTGCAGAAAATTCTATTTCTTTACCATTAAAAGTCTTGGGTTGCTGTCACAGTATTCTTTGGGTCAATGTTAATCTGTACTGTGAAGCACTGTCCAATGAGTTTTAAAGCATTTGCCTGAATCTGTGCAGATGATATAACTCTACACACTTCAAAATCCACCCTGCTGCTTTTGACAGGAGTCAAATCATGAATAAATTCTAATCTTCTTGTTTTTTAGGCTTGCCAATGGTTTAGACCTTGTGGTAAATCCACTGTATTTAATCTGGTGAGGTCTTCTCTTGATTGTTAACTTTGACACAGAGACATCTACCTTCTTTTTCTGGCCAAATGTTGGGAAGGGCTTTCTGTTTACTTGGGAATTAGTTACTATTTCCTCTACCACATGTTTATGCTTCCCTACTTTTACTTTCACTTTTGATAGCATATAAGCTGCTCACCACAGACGCAATGCAGCAGAGCTGCAGGACCCACATCATTATCACTTGGGCTTCTGAAGGAGACGGGAGGAGAAGATATTTTGGTACTGTCTATCTTACCTAGAAAAAAAAGGAAAAGATTTTGAAAAAAAAAAAAAAGATCAGTTGCTTTCAGATAGAAAGAAAAAATCTTTTTCATGATGGGTCTTCTTGATTTCCTGCTAGAAGGTAAGCACCAAACTGCAGTGCTAGAATAGAAAGTAGGTCTATTTAAAAATGTCCCTTGCCACATTAAACTGTTCCTTACGATGCTACATGAAAGAAATTCAAATTTTATTAAATTGATTAATACATTTGTCTTTGTTTTGTACTGATTAACAGGACATACCGTTTTCCCTTCATGTGTCATGTTAATAAGTTATATAAAATAATTATTATTACAAGCCCATTTCCAAAAAAAGTTATGACACTAGGAAAAAATGGAAAGAAAAACAGAGCAATATTTGTAAATATTGTTTGACCTGTATTTAATTGAAAACAGTACAAACAAAATATTTAATAGTTCTACTAATTAGCTTTTTTGTTGCTTTTTGTTTATATATGTTTATTCTAAATTTGATGTCTGCAGCATATTCCAAAATAGTTTGGACAGAGGCATGTTTACTGCACCAGATGTTTTCAATGGGACACAAGTCTGGACTGCAATCAGGCCAGTCTAGCACCTGTGCTCACTTACTATCAAGGCACACTGTTGCAACAGCTGCAGAATGTGGCTTGGCATTGTCTTGCTGAAATAAGCAGGGACGTCCCTCAAAAAGTTGTCTAGATGGCAGCATATTTTCTTCAAAAAACAAATATACCCCTTAGCATTAAAAGTGCCTTCAGAGATGTGCAAGTTACTGACTAATACCCTTATACCATGACAGGAGCTGTCCTTTGAACTTTGCATCGCTAACAATCAGGATAGTCATTACATGATGAACATGATGTCCATTATTTAAAAGAAAAATTCTGAAGGTGGACTCATCAGACCACCGCAAACATTTACACTTAGCATATGTTCATCTCAGATGATCTATAGCCCAGAGAAGTCGGTGGCATTTCTGGATGTTGTTGATGCTTTGCCGTGACAAACTGTGTTTACTGAGGGTTTTCTGAAGTATTACTAAACCCATGTGGTTGAATTCATTACAGAAGCATACTGGTTTTTATCACAGTGCTGTCTGAGGGAACAAAGGTCACAGACATTTAATATTAGTTTTCAACCTTGCCCTTCATGCATAGATTTCTCGAGTCTTTTTGTAAGTCTCTCTGGATAAGAGTGTCTGCTAAATGCTGTGAATGTAAATGTAAAAGTACATAAACACCAGTGTGAGTGAACACAAGTGCTTTATTTAAACGTGAGTGTGAAGCAACCACAAAACAAAAGTGAAAGGTTTGCCCAGCCTTACGTTAAAGAGTCTTTCGTTATCTTACAAGTCCAAATCTGTCTCTCTCTCTGGCATGTGGCATGCTGACCAGCTTCCTCTTCTCTCCAGCTCTTCTCTTTTTTTATTCACTAGAGAGCGTGCCAGACTCTCTAGTCCTCCTCTGATTAAGTGCAGCTGTCCGTTCGATCAGAGGAGAAGCACCTGATATGCATGTGGATAGGCAGTGCCCCCCACCCCCCCAGCCACAAATGTGCATTGAGAATCACTGGGCCTTATTCACCAGCCATTCTTAAGAAAAAAAAAAAAATCCTCTGAAAACCAATTTATGCAGTTTTCACAATTTTCAAGATTTTGATATTCACCAATTTTCACCAGTTTTCTTATTTGGGTTTTGTTCTTAGGTAAAAACAGAATCACACACTCAAGAGCACAAAGCTGTTCAGTGGTTTAAGACCACTATATGATGAATCTGATATAGACTTTTTTAGGACCTTTCTCAAGAACACATTTAAGTTATTGGTGAATGGGGCCCAGCATTCTTAAACTGTTGGACTGTTCATTCATGCAGTTTTTCTCAAAGTGGGGAACCTCAACTCATCATCCTTCCTCATAAACGACAGAGATTTCAATGAGTGATCGTTTTATACCCAATCCTGACAGCATACTTAATCACCTGCTTACCTGCGGAAAGTTTCAAAACAGGTGTTTTTGATCAGTCCACAAACTCCACGGTCTTATATTGCTCATGTTAAAATTTTGGAATGCAGGCAGGCATTAAACTTGGAATGAGTGTATATTTAGAAAAATCTATTAAGTTGATAAGTCTGAAGTTGATAAGCTGATAGGGCTGACCCACCCTGCTGTTGTATCATCTGAAATGCTTTAGAGGCCAACATTGTGAACATTTTCAGTGGTAGGCTTTTACTGTGAGATACTGTGAAATATGCAGTGAAATTCTTAGTTAAAGGTGAATTTGACCAATATTCAAAACGTTTTGCAAAAATAATTGGATAATTTGTACACAGAATACTCCGTTCATGCTCCAAATTCTTATTATTATTACAAATTTTAAAAGAACAAACACAGACACAGTAGGGTACTGCAATTTAAAAATGCTCATTTCTTTTTTTTTTTAATCAGGAAAAGAAACACATTTGCTAATATGTATGATGTGTCTTACAGTGTTTAAACAGACACCAACTCCTCCCCCTACTCCTAAACCTTGCCGTCGTGCTCCTTCACCAGGTGAGTTTTACCTGAGATGAAAAAAACACAATTAAGTAGAACAGAAATGGCATAATCCTTAACATAATACATTTATTCAATCAATATATATTTCAATGTTAACAACCTCAAGAAGAATGTATGAAAGCGCTAATATCATAGCACTAAGTCCTGTATCATAACACTAATATCATAGCACTAAGCCCTGTGTCATAGCACTAATGCCATAGCACTAAGCCCTGTATCATAACACTACTATCATAGCACTAATCCCTGTATCATAGCACTAATATCATAGCACTAATCCCTGTATCATAGCACTAATATCATAGCACTAAGCCCTGTGTCATAACACTACTATCATAGCACTGAGCCCTGTATCATAACACTACTATCATAGCACTAAACCCTGTGTCATAACACTAATATCATAACACTGAGCCCTGTCATAACACTAATATCAAAGTACTAAACCCTGTGTCATAACACTGATATCATAGCACTAAACCCTGTATCATAACACTACTATCATAGCACTAATATCATAGCACTAAGCCCTGTGTCATAACACTAATATCATAACACTGAGCCCTGTCATAACACTAATATCATAGCACTAAACCCTGTATCATAACACTAATATCATAGCACTAAACCCTGTATCATAACACTACTATCATAGCACTAAGCCCTGTATCATAGCACTAATACCATAGCACTAAGCCCTGTATCATAGCACTAATATCATAGCACTAAGCTCTGTATCACAGGACTACATTAATATAGAAACAATATGCACAGTTTATTGTACTGCATCGATTTTCCATTGTCATGCACGCATTGCTGTGTAACCCACAATTTCATTTTCTTCTGCTAACACTGCTGAATTCATTTTATTGCTCAGAACTAGACGTTCCTTGGAGACGAGTATACTGGAAGTAAGTACATTTGTGCCTGTTAAATGAAAATATTTGAGAAGTATGTTTAACGCTTTACTTGAGAGAGAATGCTGAGAAAAGAGGATGTTTTTAACATATAGTAGCGACCCTGGCTGGTCCTGGTCCCTACATGCCCAGAGGATCGTGGAAGGTGCGCACCCACCATTCAGCTATTGCCATGAACAGTTTGTGTTAGTCATTTTCTAGCCCTGCATTAAAGAGCAGTTTTATAACCACAGAGCCACACTTGAGCGGTCTCAATGGTGATGTAACCCTTTCTTTCTCGCTACACAACTTCCCAGCTGGGCTCTGCGTTGTGATTTGATGGTAGTAGAAAAAGGGGCCAGGAAGCGCAGGAATGTGGTGCAATCAGCTCGTGGCGCTGTTTTATTGTCAGCCTCAGACAGCAGCTTGGCATATCTTCAAGGAAGCACACAATACTGTCAAATAAGTCCAGTTTTTTCCCCACTTCTAACTTACACTAAATGAAATTCTCAGCTAACATTCACAGTTTCTTCAAATGTACGTCGTACTCGGTGGCATTCACAGCTCTCATATTTAAAAATACATATACTGCTTAAACAGTTCAAATTCCCAAGCCTACATGTAAAACAGGTCACATTAAACTAAAACTGATAAAACAAATGAGCTTAGCAACTAGTATTACACCACATTCTTTTAGCTTGCAATGTTTAACACGAAAAAATAGCACAAAAATATGTACTAATTTGGACAACTAACTCAACCTAACATGTTATCCAGTGGTTATCTGTCCAAAACACCAATGGATGTTAGATATTTTTAAAGCATTAATTAGGATTCATCACAGAGCACAGTCAGCATGTCTTACCTTCAAGGAAGCACACAATACTGTGCTTTCCTTGTTGAGCACCAACACTAAAGAGAGAAATAACGTGTAGCGCGTATACTGCCACCTGGTGACCAGAACTAGTAACGACACCTTACACCGACACTGATGTGTGTTAAATCTTTAGCAACACCTCTGTGCCTGATACATTCATAACAGCTCCACACGCACTAGTAACATGCCAGTGTCACTAGATATTTTGCGCTCCATGTTTTTTTATGCATATTTTGAAATACTGAATAAAAAAAGTAATTGAATTTTTTGTTATGGATGAAAAAGAAACGTGCTAAATTATATTTTTGCCTAGTAAATCGTTTAAAGTTGAATAAAATCAAGTCATATTATTATTTGTGCATGCAGCCAAGTTATTTTTTTAGTAGTCATCAATGCAGCCATTTCTATAGAGGCTAAAAGGCTTTAACATGATGTGAATCAAAGTGCATGATGTAGTTTGTCTCTTTTGCAAAGTAGCTGCATTGATGTAGACACCTTACTAAGCTTTACACCTCTTGGGTCCAGCACCTTAAAAATGATCAGGACGTCTTTTTTGACACACAAGTTACGCTCTAAACACTTAACACTAAATAGATATTAAGTTGATCTTAAATAAAAAAATCAATGTCTGTGTGATACAATGACTTCTGCTGGTGAGCACTGAAACAATGCCTTTGTATTTGAGTTCAAGTTAATCAATCAATCTTTAATCTGACTCTGAGTACATGCCGTCTAGCAGGAAGAAGTGTTTTATCACCCATTAAGAAAAAATCCACCATGTATTTTTTGTTTTTAACATACAGAACTGATCTTGGATTAACCCACTTGTTTACAAATGAGTAGTGTACACTGTACTTTTTTTTACTTTCTTTCCATGTCTGTGTGCTCTGTCTAACCCTAATTGTCTGTCTTTTCAGTGAAAAAGACAAGATACTGAAAGACTTGGAGGATTTAAACCCAAGTGTGGAGCCCCTTAGGATTCTGCTGCATGGGCCAGTTGGGGCAGGGAAGTCATGCTTCGTAAACTCTGTTCAGAGAGTCCTCTTAGGCCGTAATACCATGAATGCTCTGGAAAACACAACAGGAACTGGAGAAAGCTTCACTACTTCAGTAAGTACAAAGTAATCATATCATTTCTTAAACCAGTCCTCAGAGCTTCATCTGTTAACTGTAAAAATTCTAAACTCTTGAAATTCATCGGTGAGGGGGATTTTCACCAATTTTGGAAAGTTCTAATCAGCTGGTTATCTACTAAGAACTTCATGTAAATGAACACAGGCACAATTAAACAGCACAGCTCTGTAGGAAAAGAATCTGGGTGCTAAACTTGTCTGCCTGCAGTCCAGACCTGTCACCCATTTGAGATTATTTAGTGCATTATGAAATGAAAAATAGGAGACCCTGAACTGTCGAGCAGCTGAAATCCTGTATCAAACAAGAATAGAAAACCTTTCACTTTCAAACTACAGCAGTGTCTCCTCAGTTCCCAAACACTTACAGTGTTGTTAAAAGAAGAGGTGATGAAACACAGTGGTAAACATTCCCCCGTCCCATCTTTTTTCAAACGTGTTGCTAGGAACAAATTCACAATTATTCATTTATTTATTTACTATTTTCATTAACATTTAGGATTTAAATTACTTGCATTATTACATTTTCAATTTTTTACAGTCTTGGTAAATGGGAGCAGGCGCTTCAGGGTAATAATCTCCTAACGCCACACTGCCACTGTGGTTAAATACAGTATGTTTGAATCTGTTTCTAGATCAAAACACACAAGATGAAGAAGCGTGGAGGTGGATATTATCCTTTTGTTTTCAGTGACATCATGGGACTTGAAACAAATAAAGGAGGGATAGACACTGGAGACATCATCAGAGTTTTAGAGGGACATATTTTAGATGGATACAAGGTAAGTCCACATTCTTGTCCAGTTTATATGATTAACTGTTGTCAGTTTTCCAGCTTATTCCCAGCCAGGGCCAGACAAAGTCTCAAATGACAACACACTGAGGAGTTTTGCTGTTTTATTAGCCTTAAGAAGGCATTACCTCATGACAAAGAAAGATACAGTGACCAGTTTTTACAAAACAGGAAACATCATAACCAATGTGAGTAAAGATGAGTTTCCTGTGTGTTGTGACCATGATCACTCAGCCAGGAGGTTTTCTGTGCATATTTTGCATATTGAATAATAAATACTGAAATGACAAATAGCAATAGAATTGCCAAACATGTACTACATAAATTGCTTATTTACTCTTGGAACACATTTGCCAAATAAATACTGAAAATGTGAACAAAATTCAGTAACATTTCATTTTAAGGACTGCTTATTAATGATTACTAACATATAAGCATGCAATTATCTTTAAATATGTAAACAGAAATATTTCACAAGTTCATATTACTTGTTTAGACCTACAATCATCCATATGATCAGTGAGCTAAATATCACAAAAATCGCTAGAATTATATAATTATTTGGTCTGTTTCAGCAATATTGTCTCTTTTGTATCGTTAATTACACCAACAAATGTTGCCATGATCGCAAAATAATTAATTGCTATGTGTATGTTTTTGTTGGGGTTCATCAATATTATCTTGACATTAGGTTAAGTTTAGTGAACAATATGCTAATATTCTGGCATCAACAGCATTCATTATTGAGCTAAAGCACAAGAGATCCAAACATAAATATTTAGATTGCAAAAGTCTGTCATCAGTCAATGTCAGTTGTCAGTCTTGAACAATTCTCAACACATTCTTAACTGTAGACCTCTAACAGAGGAAAGCGGACTTTGGTAAAGTAAGAGGGAGATGGCTGAAAGTTGTTTCCTGTTTGTTTTCATTATCCAATGATTTCTCCATTGCTTACTCAGCTCTTCAACCTCATTCACCTCATGATATTTGACAGTCAGAATGATATATAAGCTTATTTTGTTTGTGTCGCTGTTGTTACTGCAAGCATGAAGCGTGCAGCACACTCAGGAGAAGTGAATTAGAAATGATGAATCATATCAATCTAATTTGCTGTTATGGATGTCACCAATATGACAGAGCGGATTATGCAAACATTGGAAATGATAAAGGGATGTTTACATTTTACCTGTCGGGATGCTTTATGAACTAACAGTGTATAAATGGTGGCTCTACCAGTGCTGTTATCACCCCTGTCATTGCCACGTTTTTTTGGATGTGTGTGAACAATATGGGGTGTCACCAGGTGTGATGCCTGCAGTGGTGGATGAAGTACACAAATCATGTACTTGAGTTAAAGTAGAGATACTTATAGAATGTTATTAATTAGTCTGACCCTGATGTCTATTAAAATTATCATAAGCACAAAACACTGAGGGCAAACAATTTCCATTTAGTAGAACTGAGTGGCTCTGAAATAACTTTTTGCAAATAAGCAAAGTTTTAGTTTAAGATTTATTTGCAACTTAGTTACAAGTTTAATAAAGACTTGCTTTCAACACAGGTTCATAAATGAGTTTTACTATATTGCATCTGTAGCTCTCTGTTCATAAACGTAAACTAGCCAAAACAAATTTACTATAAAATGAAAGTGTTTGTAAAAATTCAGAAAAAAGAAACACGACAGTCACAACTGCATATGTGTACATATTTCTATATTGTGGTCTATTTACACAAAGTTAGGTTAGCTCATCATTTATGTTGAATAGACTCTCCCAAAATATTACACTGCTGCACTGATGTTGAACCGTGTGCTGCACTGGGTCGGTATGTCCAACAGGTCAAAACAAGCTCAAAACATAGTACGCACTGTAACTTGATTGGTGTGCATGCATCACGCTTCTTTCATTTTGACATGTTTTCATACACACATAAGCCAAAGAAATGACAGATTTTGCAAAATGTAGTGGAGTAAAAAGTAAGATGTTTGATTTGAAATGTAGGGAGTGAAAGTAAAAAGTCGCCCAAAATGGAAATACTTAATACTGTACAGTAAAGTACAGCTACACAAAAAACCTACTTAAGTACAGTAACAAATTACATTTACTTAGTAACTGTCCACCACTGGATGTCTGTAAGAGTGTAAAGTAACATAACATCCATTTCCTGAGCTTTTCCTTTCTTACTTTTAACAACTTGTGTTATTCATGTGTACCCTTATAGCCAACTTCCAGATCATGTTAGTAAATTGTTAATAGAAGGTTGTTAATAGTAGTGCCCCTATTTTTGCTAACTGTATTGCTTGAACAGTGTCACACCGTTAATGCATCTTCATAAATCAGGTGCACTAAAACCTGCAATTGATAAATCAACTGGGAGTCATTTTGCACACTCAAAATGTATTCATTTTCTGTTTTAGTTTAATCCCCGTGGACCTATAAGTAAGGATGACAAGAGGTACAATCCCAACCCAAATCTAGGTGATAAAATCCACTGTCTGGTCAGCATTGTTCCTGCTGATACCATCTCAAGAATGGATGAAAGTGTGCTTGACAAAATGAGGGCAATTCGAAAGACAGCTTCTGACTTGAGTAAGTTGGTTATTACATATTAGCATCTTTGATCCCTGAGTTTGATGTGGGATTCACATGTGAATTTAAAAAGTCAGCCATTTATTTCTGAAAAATTTTAAGAGATTTTAAGAGAATGATCTTTAGCCCATTAAGAAACGCATATGATGCTTGATGGTTGTTATGGTAGTGGATAACACTTCAGCCTTCTATGTTGTAGACTGGAGTTCAGTCCCCACTTGGGCAAACACCCTGCACTATACCAAAAAGAGTCCTTGGGCAAGACTCCTAACACTACCTTCACCTACCTGTGTAAAATGATCACATTGTAAGTCGCTCTGGATAAGAGCGCCTGCCAAATGTAAATCCATATTTATCTATTTTTGAATTCTTTGTGTTATATGTATTACTTAACATTATAGGCATCCCACAAGTCATTGTGTTGACGAAAGTGGATAACGCATGTGAGATAGTCAGCCGAGACTTGCGAAAACTTTACCACAGCAAGAAGATCAAAGAGAAGGTAACCTATGTGTGCAACCCCACTATGAAACATCAAACATTGATCTTCACATGATATATTCAGCTATATGAGAAGAGAATTATGAATTATGAATCATTTCAATCTAAAATGCTGTTTGGCTATGCTAAGCTCCAATGAGACTGAATATACATTGTCAAACATGGGAAGTGATGTTTTCACATTTTGTTCTATTTAAAAGAAGCAAATTCAATTTGGTTGAAGTGTACGTAAAAGGGAACAAGCTGCAACCGACCTAAATATTTACAAGGGGAATTTCTAGCACTTGCTAGCAACTGCTTTTGACATTTCGTTTTTCAGTATCTTAATGCTAGTGCTGGTACTAGTCCCATTTTAACTCCCCAAACAGACTGAAGATAAATCGGTCAAAAATTTAATGTTTCATGTAGAGGTGATTCTTGACTGACTAGGAGAGCTTGTGGCGGCTACCACAAGCACCAATGTTAGTGACATTGTGATCAACCTTGGACAGAGGTTCGCAGGACTGTCATTGGACCTGGACAGACAATGATGGGTGTTCTCATCAAGGAGACACAGTGGGTTAGTACAGTATTTCCCATCCCTGGTCCAGGAGGAACACTGCCGTGTATATTTTAATGTTATCACTGCTCTCAGCACACTTGATTAAACTAACCAGAACTGGATTTGCAAGAAGCATCTTAGCAAAAAGGTTGTACTTAACAGGTGATGGGAGCATCACAGTGGACACTCTCTACCAGTATTGTTAAGATGCTCTTAATAAAATAATTTTGGAAAACCGAGTCCAGCTTGTTACCAACCCCTGACTATTCAAATTGGTGTTGAAGCTGCAGGGCAGTGTTCCTCCAGGAACAGTGTTCCTCCAACATTCCTGCAAAAACCTGCCCAAAGCCCGTTGCAATGTCACTATCATTGATACATGATAGTCACAAGCTCTCCAAGTCAGTCAAAAATCACTGCCACATGAAATAAGAAACGTTTTCACTTCCTCTTAAAATATGCTCTACACTTAAAAGTCCCTTTTGACGTCCCACCCACAGTGTTTGACTTACAGGAAAGCTTCACTGGCAATGAAACTATGATTGCAAACAAAGCTGCAAATACATTTTAATATTGGCAGAGCTGAAGAGCAACGATGAAGAACTGCAATTGCAAGTGGGTGATTGTTATTCTGTTTGTAATATGTCAGAGTCAGACCACTAAGCCAATGAAAATGGAATGTGAAAAGCACTTTGCTTTCCAATTTAATTTTTTTTTCCTGTAACATGGTGGCTGGCTTATCCCACGGGATGATCAAATTAGCATTCCCCACATTAAAAACCCAGCAAGCTCTGGGATAAGCCACTGACCAGGTACAGAGATGGACTTAGAGAGACTGACTCAGAGAGACAGAGTGCAGAGCAGTAGAGATTCAAGAATAGGAGACAAAAGAAGAAAAGCCATGTTGTACTGTGCAAGACTCAGTCTCACAACCTCGCAATATGGGAGTGAGTGCGTTACTGCTAGGCTACCGCAGCAAAGCTGAGGAGAGTCTTGCAGAAGTGTTGATTAAAAAAGGGAGAAAACTAAGGCCAAACAAAAGAAACACCACAGCAGCATTTTCAAGTACATTTTTTATTCTGGAGAGCAGTCAACAGAATTTCTTTCTTTTTTTTCTTTTTTTTTATACTTACACAATAAAAACAACTGAGGAAAAAAACCCAGACTTTAATAAAAACTCAAGAACCAAGAGAATACCATTTACCAGTTCAGCAGAGAAATATGCAGATGGCAGCATAAACTCAAGACTGAGTGGTGAGCTGTGAGAGAGCGCTCCTTAAGTAGAACGTGCACAGCTGCACCTGATCAGCCTCAATCACCTCGTCCCGGGTCTCTGCCTGCTCTTTGTGGTTGGAGGTGACCTAGCAGGAAGCTGGCACATTACATTCCCAGCCATTATGCACAGAAATGCAGATGCAAAGGCACATTTGCATTTGAAATTTGTTTTAAATTCAACACACTCATGAGGGAAATGCAACGGTAAGGACAATTTAATTAGCTTTTTCAATTTTTGCATTTGACAAAGGTCCAGAATGTGCTCCTATCCAAGACACCAGAATGAGAGACCAAGGCATTTTCCCTGATCTACCATGCTGCCACACAGAAGGGCTGGGGAGGAGAGGAACATGGCTCAGAAACAGGGTGAACAGGGAGAGGAGTTTCCAAAAAAATGGCCTCTTATACTCCACTAGCAAACTCAAAACAGATTGCAATCCAGAGACACTGATAAAGAATCCCAAATGGTTGGGTTATGCATCTCTGAAAATGTAAAATTATGTTCAATATTAAAAAAGGTGTAATGTACAGTAGAGAGTGAAAAGTCTAAATGAAGAGATTGCCCTTGACACATGTTTATTTTTCAGGTTGAGGTGAGCAGTTATGAACTGGGAATCTCATTGAAGAACATCTACCCTGTGAAGAACTATCATGTGGAGATCACTGAAGATACCAATGTGGATGTTCTCATTCTCATGGCACTGAGGGATATTGTCAACTTTGCCAACGACTATGCAGAATTCATGTACTAATCGAGTGGCAGTTCACAAACAGAGTAAAAGAGAATTCCAGTGCTTTTCAAAATGTCTGCATGTAGTGTTAATATATAGTGTTATACTATGTATGTTTGTGCTGTAGACATCATGACCCCTGGTTCATATCACCACCACTATGAAGTCTGAAATCAGAGTTTGTTGGGTTTACTTGTTAGTTTTGCATTTACTATTAAGTACCATGTTAAAATATCCTTTTAAACAGTCAGTGTGACCTTGTTATAAAACCATCTATTTTGACCATAATTGTATAAAGAAAATGGAGAAAGAAAAATTGCCCAGTGCTCCAATATGGCATTTCTTTTTTGATTTAAACCCAAGCTAACCCAATATAAACCGAGCCACTCAATCCAAATAATGTGATGTGTAAAAACTGTATCAAACAAGCTGTACAAAAGTTGCCTCTCTTATAATAATAATAATAATAATAATAATAATAATAATAATAAAAATAATAATAATAGTACTATTTGGGTGGTGGATCATTCTTAGCACTCTAAAAGGCTAAATTAATACTACAACAGAGAACGTTGTGTTAGCCACTAGATAACAACAGATAGCAGCTGCAATTGTTTAGGAATATAGCCTACATTACCAATGGTTTAAGCTAGCCTTGCTAATTCAAGCCTTACACAGTTCCTGCAATGACAGATGGAGCACAGTTATATATCCACAACTGACACTCAGAGTGTAAAATACACACCTCAGTGACATGAAGGTTTCTCTCAATATGTTGAAAACAGAATGTGAGATGCTGCTTGTTTAATGTTTATGTCAGTGGTCTCCACAAAACAGGCACATACTGCTGAGCACATTTATAAATGTGACTATAAATGAAAAATGGTGTGGGTGAGGGATGAGGAAAGCTTTCACAGGCTGTGACTAAGCAGGTGCAGTCTCCTGTTCAATCTCTTCCAGTGGACATGAATAACTGCCTTACTGTGTCTGCTGGCCAGATCATGCCCAGGGGTCATCCACCAAACAGAAACTGAAAGAAATATTGAATTTAATTGATTATTATGTTAGTGATTCATCTATTAAAAGCCATGATTGAATATACAGTTTCACTTGTACTTTACTTTCACTTTCCTTCTGAGAATATAAAGATCCTGAGCACAAGCCCACTGAGGCAGAGCTGCAGCACTGCAGCATCACTTAGGCTTCTGGAAACTACCAGCACAAATACTAAGACCTTCTAAATTACACTTACATGCTGAATGTTTTGTGTCTGTGCTGTTATCCGGTGTCGACCAGAGGAGGATGGGTTCCACTTTTGAGTCTGGTTCCTCTCAAGGTTTCTTCCTCCTGTTGAGGGAGTTTTTCCTTGCCACTGTCGCCAAGGCTTGCTCACTGGGGGCGTGGACCCGGATTCTTTGTAAAGCTGTTTTGTGACAACATCTGTTGTAAAAGGTGCTATATAAATAAATTTGACTTGACTTGAATTTGACTAGGTATTGGATGGATAAAGGTACATGTAGCAGCCTACATTCACATCAAAGTATGGTGAACAATTAAGGAAGTACAATCATCTACAATTACAACCATACATAGCCCCACATTTTTAGGGTCTCAAAAGTAATTGGACAAACTACCAATCATAATGTGGTGGTTATAATAGATTTAGTGTTGTTATTATTGCTTTAACTTCAAACAAGAAGTTAGAGTAACCCAGATTTATTTAAAGTCTACAGACCAAGTCAATAGAGACAAATTCTCATACCAAGAATGCATCAGTCAAAGGGGAATTTAATGGCTAAACTGCAGTTGAATTACTTTCAATGATAAACAAAAGAAAAATTAAAACAAAAAGAAAAAGAATCAGACAGCTCAGGTAATGTAATTCACAGCTAAAATAGTATGAGACAATGTAGTTTATGGCACTTCTTGGGAAAGCAGCTCAATGCAGGTCTAGAGAATTAGAGAAGTAGATATATCTTATAAGCGTTTCTTATTTAATATGTGGCGTCAGAACCTTGAACCTTGAAAAAGATAGCCAACCTTACCCTGGAGTCGAGGGAGCCGGCTGGACCGAAGGCTGGAGCTTGGCATCTCTCTTCGCTGGGGATGGACGCTCTGTCAGAGTAGCCATACAGGCAAACACGCCATAGTCAACGACTAGGTATAGGCATTGCGAGGCTGCTTGAGGATGGAGTTTGGAGCCTGGGCAGTCTTTCGAAGGTCAATCTGCTCATAGATTGAGCCGTGGCTCTGGGTGAGATCCTGTGGTCTCCATGTCGATAAGGCTACCTCAACTCACAGACAGCAGGTATTTAGAGAGCCATGTGCCTTTGATTCCAGGCAAGGTGTTTTATTGCTTCATGGGTAAGCGGTGGTATTCTTTGGGTCAATGTTAATCTGTACTGTGAAGCACTGTCCAATGAGTTTTAAAGCATTTGCCTGAATCTGTGCAGGTGATATAACTCTACACACTTCAAAATCCACCCTGCTGCTTTTGACAGGAGTCAAATCATGAATAAATTCTAATCTGGTCTTCTTGTTTTTTAGGCTTGCCAATGGTTTATACCTTGTGGTAAATCCACTGTATTTAATCTGGTGAGGTCTTCTCTTGATAGTTAACTTTGACACAGAGACATCTACCTTCTTTTTCTGGCCAAATGTTGGGAAGGGCTTTCTGTTCACTTGGGAATTAATTAATCTTTCCTCTACCACATGTTTATGCTTCCCTACTTTTACTTTCACTTTTGATAGCATATAAGCTGCTCACCACAGACGCAATGCAGCATAATGATAAGTTATTTAAGATATTTCATTTATTATTACAAGCCAATTCCCATAAAAGTTACGACACTAGGAAAAAATGGAAAGAAAAACACAGCAATATTTGTAAATATTGTTTGACCTGTATTTAGTTGAAAACAGTACAAACAAAATATTTAATAGTTCTACTAATTAGCTTTTTTGTTGCTTTTTGTTTATACATGGTTATTCTAAATTTGATGTCTGCAGCATATTCCAAAATAGTTTGGACAGAGGCATGTTTACCACTGTTACATTACCTTTCCTTTTAACAGTGTTTAACAACTGTTGTACTTTTAAAGCTGAAATTTTTCCCATTCTTGTTTGATGTAACATGGTGTATCTTTGTTGTCATATACTGTGCTACATAATGGGAGACAAGTCTGGACTGCAATCAGGCCAGTCTAGCACCGGTGCTCACTTACTACAAAGGCACACTGTTGCAACAGCTGCAGAATGTGGCTTGGCATTGTCTTGCTAAAACAAGCAGGGATGTCCCTGAAAAAAAATTGTCTAGATGGCAGCATATTTTGCTTCAAAATACATATATAGCCCTTATTAAAAGTGCCTTCAGAGATGTGTAAGTTACTGACTAATGCTCCCCTCTATATTGTAACAGGAGCTGTCTTTTAAACTTTGCAATGCTAACAGTCAGGATAGTCATTTTTCATCTTGGGAGAACATGATGTCCAATTGAATATTAGTTTTCAGCCTTGCCCTTCATGCACAGATTTCTCCAGATTCTCTGAATCTTTTAATAATGTCCGATTCACAATGACTGGGAAGCAGGACCAGAGCTCAGAGACACACACACATAAACACCAGCGTGAGTGAACACAAGTGCTTTATTTAAATATGTGAGTGTAAATTACAAAACAAAAGCGAAAGGTTTGCCAAGTCTGTCTCTCTGGCATGTGGCATGCTGACCAGCTTCCTCTTCTCTGCAGCTCTTCTCTTGTTTTTATTCACTGGAGAGAGTGCCAGACTCTCTACTCCTCCTCTGCAGCATTTGATGTGCATGTGGATAGGCAGTGACTCCGCCCCTCCTCAGCCACCAATGTCATGGAATGTAGATGGTGAAATTCCTAAGTTCCATATAATCATGCATTGAGAATCACTGGGCCTCATTCACCAACTATTCTTAAGAAGAAAATGATCTGTAAACCAACTTATGCAGGACTGATCTTTCAATGAATGATCATTTTATACCCAATCCTGACAGCATACTTAATCACCTGTTTACCTGTGGAAAGTTCCAAAACAGGTGTTTTTGATTATTCCCCACAGTACACAAACTCCACAGTCTTACGTTGCCCATGTTGAAATTTTGAAATTTGTTGCAGGCATTAAACTTGGAATGAGTGTATATTTAGAAAAAAATCTATTAAGTTGATAAGTCTGAAGTTGATAAGCTGATAGGGCTGACCCACCCTGCTGTTGCATCATCTGAAATGCTTTAGAGGCCAACATTGTCAACATCTTCAGTAGTAGGCTTTTACTGTGAAATACTGTGAAATATGCATTAAAAGTCTTAGTTACAGGTGAATAAACAATGAACAAAAATACTCTGTTCATGCTCCAAAATCTTATTATTATTACTATTATTATTATTATTATTACAAATTTTAAAATCTTACATGAAAAGAAGAAACAGTCGGGTATTACAGTTTAAAAATGCTAAATTTTCAAACACGTTTGCTAATGTGTATGGTCTGCCTAACAGTGTTTACAACAAGGTCACCAACTCCTCCTCCTACTCCTACTCCTTGCCGTCCTACTCCTTCACCAGGTAAGTTTTACCTAAGTGAGATGAAAAAACACAATTAAGTAGAACAGAAAAGGCATAATCATTAACATAATTACTTACATATTACATTTATTCAGCCAATATCTATTTCAATGTAAACAACCTCACAAAGAATTATCTGTAATAGCACTAATATCATAGCACTAATTCCTGTAGCATAGCACTAATATCATAGCACTAATTCCTGTATCATAGCACTAATATCATAGCAATCTCTGTGTCATTGGACAAAATTCATGTAGAAACAATACACAATTCTATTGTACTGCATCGATTTTCCATGGACATGCAGGCATTGCATTATTGTGTAACCTATTATTTCATTTTCTTCTGCTAACACTGTTGAATTAATTTTATTGCTCAGAACTGGACGTTCCTTGGAGGCCAGTAGAATGGAAGTAAGTATATTTGTGCCTGTTAAATGAAAATGATATTTGAGATGAAAGTATGTTTAACAATTTACTTGCTGAGAAAAGAGGATGTTTTTAACATATAGTAGCGACCCTGGCTGGTCCTGGTCTCTACAAGCCAAGAGGATCATGGGAGGTGCGCACCCACCATTGATCTATTGCCATGAACAATTTGCGTTTGTCGTTTTCTAGTTTTTTAACCACAGAGCCACATTTGAGTGGTGGACCAGTCTCAAAGGTGACACTGATGTGTGTAAAATCTTTAGCGACACCACTGTGCATGATGCATTCATAACAGCTCCACACACACACTATTAACATGTCAGTGTCACTAGCTATTTTGCCCTCCATGTATTTTTATGCATATTTTGAAATACTGAATAAAAAAAGTAATGGAATTTTTGTTTTGGATGAAAAAGAAATGTGCTAAATTATATATTTGCCTAGTAAATCGTTTAAAGTTGAATAAAATCAAGTCATATTACCACTGAGGTGTTGTACAGCCATAGCTATAAACCAGTGGACAAAGAAAGACTTTAAAATGCACCTTTGTCTTCTTAAAAAATAAAAAAGCAAATAAAAAATAAAAATTCAAAAAACATAAACAGAGATATTAGACAGTAAACTGACTGTGTTTGCAGCAGATCAATGGTCATGTCTTGACTCATTTGTTTGGCAGTGTGTTCAGATTTAAAATTATATAAAATTAAAATAGCAACGAGAACTCAGCATTAAAGATTTCTCTGTAAACTCACTCCACGTTTCTCAGAAGTGTTAGAGATCAGTCAGTAATGATGTTGAAGAGTTTGCTTTCTGTGAAATGATCTGAGATTTGTTCTCTCAAATTAATCCAAGATCTTGGGCATTGCTTATTTTTTCCCATCCTCTACTAATTTTAAGTTTGTTCTGATTAACGCCGGCACGTCCTGCCATCGCCTCTCATAATTCTAGGACTTTTTCTGGTTAGTAACCCCTGACAATGTTAGGACCATTATTTATTGTGCATGCAGCCAAGTTATTTTTTTAGTAGTCATCAATGCAGCCATTTCTATAGAGGCTAAAAGGCTTTAACATGATGTGAATCAAAGTGCATGATGTAGTTTGTCTCTTTTGCAAAGTAGCTGCATTGATGTAGACACCTTACTAAGCTTTACACCTCTTGGGTTCAGCACCTTAAAAATGATCAGGACGTCTTTTTTTGACATGCAAGTTACGCTCTAAATAGCCATTAAGTTGCTCTTAAATATCAATATCTGTGTGATATATTGACTTCT